TTACTTTACTTAGTATTCATAAACAGTCCAGCCCCAAATTATATAAACAGAATTACATGTCAGAATGTGAGAATCGACTAGGAAGTTACATTAAACCCAAATACTATTTACCTGAATTCCAATTCAAAATACAACTCAATGTTATATTTTTTTAAAGTGGAGATTATGTAGATCAAGGGAAAAAACCTGTATACACCTTCATTCAAACTGACTGCTGTGCATTATTTGACAATTTCCAAGTCTTAAAAGAGAATTACAGATGAGGATTTTTTAATTTAAGTTCAAAGTCATGACAGCTTCATTTCCTGATTCCCAATGTGGATCTGAATAAAAAGACATCCATAAAATGTTGTATCTTTCACTGCAACCCAGACCAAAAAGTATTGCACTTCTATAACTCCTGGTTTGGTATAACCAGAAAGAGGATATATTTTTTTTTCCAAATTCATCCAAATTTTATTCTGTGATTTACTTAGAAAAAAAAATCTACACTCAAATCACTGTATGTGAATCTATAACATGGTCAGGCCACTAGAAGAAATGTGCGTGGAATCTGGTGGATTTGACACTGAGTGATTCAGAAAGCAAAAAGGGGGGATCACCCACCTTGTGTAGCCTCCTCTACAAAATGTTCTTCTACACAAAATTAACCGATCCTTCCCTCACTCTATAAAAAGTGAGGGATCTTCTCCATTTATACATCCATCAAAGTCTTCGATATTCTGGGAAAGAATAAGCATAACTTCCTGTTTCAAAATGTGCTGCCTTAAAAAGAGGTTGGAATAGATATACAGTGAAAGAAATAAAAAATGCTTGATTATTGGCAATTATTATAGAACTATACCAAAGAGATACAAATACTGTTCTCTTTTCCACTTGAGAGTAAAACTATGTGCAAGTCATAAAATAGATGTGTTCTGTACAATGAGTAAAATATGGATTAAAGTGTATTAAGCAACCTAAGTTTTTTTTTTTTTGAACCTGAAACAAAAAGGCAATCCTAGAACAAAATTTTTCCCACTAATAAAAATAATGTTTTAAGGCTAAAATTGTAGGGTTCAAAACAGAATCTTGTCACCATCTCTTTACAATATTAATAAAGTTCAAGGCATGTCTACTGAAAAATTTTGGCAAGCCAAACTTGCACAATTAAAATAAATACAGTGTCACGTGATTGGTCTCCCAAAGCCTGGAATTTTGACCTTGACCGAAGTCTTCTGACTCCTAATGCTATAAATAACCAGCATTTAGCTGAACAAAATATTAAACTATTAATTCTCACAGAATGTGGTTGTGCCTTTTCAGTGCATATGTCCCGTGCAAATGTTTAGCATGGGCTTATTCATTTGACAAATATTTATTGTGTGTCTACCAGGCCTAGGCCCCATATCAAGCAATGAAGATATAAAGGAGACCACGACCAACACAATGCCTCTCCTTAAAGAGCTAAAAAAAGCAGAGAAGACAAAAAATAATTGCAAAAAGTCATCACCTAGTAGTATAGGATAAACAGGGGCATTTTAATATCTATAGAGTAAGGGAAAGCCTCCTGGAGGAAGTTGAGAGGCAATGTCTTAAAAACAAAAATCTTCAAGGCTATGGTAACAGAACTGTATGTCTGTAAGCTACTGCTATTCATGCCTATCAGTTAAATTTTATAGTCTCATAACATGTACAGGTTAATTTATTGCTAGGCTTATGTTTAGCATAACATGCTGCTTAAAAGTTTTATAAATCAAAGGTTCTTATAGTTTTAAACCACAAAAGGAATAATTTCTACCAGTTCAGGAAAATCAAATGAGCATAATGAGTAAAGTGGCAAAACAGCTTTAAATATTTCTGAAAAATGGCAGACTGACTTCATGAGTTTCTTTCCATCTCTTTCTTAACCACATTAAAATCACAGTAAAAGAAATTTTTTTAAAAGATAGAAACATATAAGAACTAAGAAAGAGAAAAAGGAAAGGAGACTAAAACAATCAAAAGAATTCATCAAATTTTTATAAAATGGAGATGGATGAATGATAATTGACCTAGGCGGGCAGAGGCAATACCTGAGTACTGAGGAGGAGGAAACCAAATGGAAGTGAGCTGACTGGAGATACAGACCCCAGAAAGGTTAAGACCTTGGGAATTCAAGGAGTTGTGAACTTGCATCTAGATTACAGCTCCTCCAACCTCTCCTATTCTTTGGAGAAACTCCGTGACACCAGAGAAAAGGACTTAGAAAACACTGACATTTGGGGGCGCTTGGGTGGCTCAACTGGTTAAGCATCTGACTCTTGATTTCAGTTCAGGTAATGATCTCAGGGTCGTGAGACTGAGATGGGCTGCTTTGGGCTCCATGCTGGGCGTGAAGCCTGCTTAAGATTCTCTCTCTGTGTCTTCCTCTGCCGCTCCCCCCTCCCTCTCTAAAACAAAACAAAACAAAACAAACTAAAAAAAACAAAACAAAACACTGACATTTGGATGCCACTCTATTAAAAAGCCCAGATTACCAAATGAAAAGCCATTCTCATGTACAAATAGCTTCTGAGTAGCTCTCAAATATAGAAGGCAACAACCACAGATACGTGAGGAAAACTTCCAAAATGAAAGTGAGAGCTTAGAAAATCAAACAGGAATAAAAATTAACCTGGAAGAAACAACACAATGCATGAAGTGGAAGACAATGAAAAAAACAAAACAAAACTATGATTAATATCCTTATAGTAAAAAGAGAAATTTAGCAGCCATAAAACAAAAACAGAAGGCTGTACCACAGGAACATTAGAGAACAAAAAATAGTTTTGGGTTAAAAAATTAGGATAGCTGAAATAAAACTTTCAATAGGACAGCTGGAAGATAAAGTCAAAGATATCTCCCATAAAAACAAGCAAGATCAAAAAGTTAGAAGATTAAAATTAGATTAGGATCTGTCAGGAGGCATAACTTCAGACTAACAGAGGTTCCAGAAAAAGAAAACAGAGAGAATGCAGAAAGGGAAACTGTCAAAGAAATAATACAAGAAGAGCATACAGAACTTTCAAACATGAATTTCTATATTGAAAGGATCCTCAAGTTCCTAGCACAATAAATGAAAAAACGCCCACATAAAGCTCTTTATTATGAGTTTCAAATATCAGGGTAAAAAGAGATTATAAAAGTTTTCAGGGCACCTGGGTGGCTCAGTCAGTTAAGCGTCTGCCTTCAGCTCAGGTCATGATCCCAGGGTTATGGGATCGAGTCCTGCATCAGGCTCCTTGCTCGGCGGGGAGTCTGCTTCTCCCTCTACCCTTCCCCACTGTTCGTGATTTCTCAATTCTAACTATTCAAAATGTATTAATTCATTTAATTTTCATAACTATGAGGAAGACACTATTAAGTGTGGTCTTTTAAAAACTACATACTATCTCTCAACTTTAAAAGTAAAATTAATTTTAGGGGCACCTGGGTGGCTCAGTTGGTTGAGCATCTGCTTTTGGCTCAGGTCATGATCTCAGGGTCCTGGGATTGAGCCCCAAGTGGGGCTCCCCGCTCAGCAGGGATTTTGCATCTCCCTCTGCCCTCCCCCCCCCAGGCATGTGCGTGTGTGCGCTCTCTCTCTCTCAAATAAAATAAATGAAATCTTAAAAAAAAAAGTATAAGTAAAATTAATTTTTAAAAAAGAAGAAAATACTGTTTTAATGCTCTCTACCTTCCTAATCTGTTCCCAGATCAACTATGGTTGATGAAAAATTCTGTCTTGGTCAATGGGGACACAAGTTTAATGTATGGGGGGGGTGGGGAGAAGAGGAGTGGGAGATGAAAGTTGAGGGTATTTGCTGCTAGCATTTTAAGTATTCATTGTATAGAAGTACTTTATCCTATGTATTTATAATTTGCAGCTAGAAAGTCCATAGCACAGTAGATTCCCTGATTTAAATGCATCAACGACCTCCACCGAAAGAACTGATGCACTCACCTCAGACCACCAATATGTATTTGGGCAAAGAATAAGGAATCTATACATTTCATTAAAGTTAAAAACAGAATAGCTACCTCTTTCCTAAATTACTGTCATCTAAGCCCTTCACACTCTTTAGTCTTGCAAAGAAAATTTCCCTAAGTGACTCCTAGTCATTTACATGACTATTTATTAAATACAACGATATGACAAAAGCATCTTGCCCCACTCACTCTTACCCTCATCTTTACCTTACGTTATCAGTTGCATAATGATACTTGAACATTTCCACTTGATCTTCTGTAGGAGTTAGCCTCATTCAGTTTCCTATTTGTGCTGTCCTATCCATCTTCTCACTTATTTTCCTTACTTAAGAGTTTCTGATTTGGGGGTGGGGTGGGACGGGATATATTCTTTTGAATAGATTTTTTTGTTTTTTCCGTTTCCAATCTGGGGGTATCTTCATTCTTTCTGACCTATAATAAGGAAGTTATACAGTTTTGGCATTTATTCCCTTGGCACTAATAAAGTGCTATGCAATAATGTCGTTGCTTTTGAGACCTCAGACCACTGCTTCAGAACTCATCCTACTGCACTGGACCGCCTGGATCATTTGCTGTTACCTGGTCCAGCCCGGGCGTTCCTGTCTCTCACATACCCAGGCCTCCACTTTCTGCCTGTTATACTCTTGACTTCTTTGTAGTCGTTTTGTTTTGTTTTGTCTTGGTTTGGGGTTTTGGTTAATAGGTGGTACCTGCAGCAACCTCTGAGGTCCTGATGCATCAATGACAGCATCAGCTACGTCTTCCCAACAGCTGCGTGAACACACCCTGGACTGCCTGGGCTGCCTGGCCTACGTCTCGGTCTCGTCTCCCGGGAGGTACCCGTCTGCGGCCGCAGACCTCACGCTGCGACAACCTCCAATGTCCGGTGTCACGGTGGCCCACGGTCCCAAGCGCACCCAGCAGGACTGTCGCACCCTCCCTCCGGCGCTCAGGTGGAACGCCTCGGCGGCCCTACCCTCGGGCGTCACCTGCGGGCCAGTCCCGGCGCGCGCACGCGCTCACGCACCTACCGTTTCCTTGGCAGCCGCAACCGGGATGGGAAGCAGCCCCCGGCCGCGGGGCGGGTCCTCCGGCTCTGCGGCCGAGCTCTCCGAGGGGCGCCCCGGGGCGGGTGCCCACGCGGAGTCGGCCCGAGGGTCTCCATACAGCTGGTAGCACACGAGGCCGACCAGACCCCCGCCGGCCGCTGCCGCGATGCTCAGCTCCCCCCAGCGCCTCCGCCGCCTCCAAGCCGCCTCCGCCACAGCCCCCTCTTCCTCCTCCCGGCAGGAGAAGGGCCGGCCGGGCGGGCCCGCGGCTACCCCCGCAGGGCGCCCCCACCGCCCAGGAAAGGGATGGTGAGGGCAGAGCGGAGGCGGGAGCCGAGGCGGCGGCCACAGGAGCCTCCGCAGCGCAGCCATTGCGGGAGCTGCCCGCAGCAGACCTAAGAGGCGGCGGGGAGGCGGGGGGGCAACGAAACCTCGCGAGAAGTCGGTGTGCGGAGGTTCGATGCTGCCCGAGGGCGAGCCCTTCAAACGTGCGGCCTGGGGTACCCCGTAGCCGGCCTTCAGCTGGGGCGACCGGGGCGTCGGGCCGGGAGATCCTGGGGGAGGGGGCGGATCCCGGCTGCTCCTCCGCCCGGCACTCGTGTCTCGACGCCGCAGTCGTGAATGACTGCGCCTGCCCGGGCAGCACCTGACTGCGCCAGAACCCAGCCCCGCAGGGTACAGCCAAGTCCGCAGACGTTCAAAGAGCCCTGGGGCGCGGGGGAGTCCAGGCGTCCGTCCGCAAACCTGGCCCATCGACTTCGCTTTGCTGGGTGGCTTCTGAATCATTGGTAGTGCTCCTCTAAGAAAGTCACGTCCCCTGACACAAGGTCACGAAAAATTGGCAATCGTATCTTCAGGTGTACAGTAAAAATGAGGTCAAGTGTGGCCCAAGGCAAAAAGATGGCAGATTAAGTCAAAGACTGCTTTGACTACCCAGTGACAGCTTCTGGACTTTTAAGGGGGGCAGGCTAACATTTTTTAGTTACAATTAATATTAAAAAAAAAAAATCATGACCATACTTGTCACTTAATTCAAATCAGAAGCGTCTTGAAAGATACCCTTACTTTTGTGGGGATGCTGTTGGTATAAGTATAAAATAAAGATTAAGTGTGATTGTGTCGTCTTTATTTTTATTATTGATATACCTGTTTGTTCGCTACCTTGTCAGTGTCACTTCTATGAGAAAGTATATATGACCTTCTTACCAGTTTCCCACCCCTGAGCCCAGTTTTGGTTAACTGAGTAATGCTGGCTTTGGTCTCTATACTCTGGAATGGTGCCAGGTCCCCTAAAATATTCTGCATCTAGGGGTGTAAACAACAAAATCCAGTTGTCTCTACTGAGCTATAGTCACAAGGGAATTAGATCAGTTGATTCTGGCAATTCTTATAAAGACTAGGGCAAACAAAATGAGGTTTTCCGACACAGATCTTGCTATTCCCATTCCTCACTAGCAGGAATGAGGAAGACTAGCTCCTTGTGTTATCACTACAATTCCTTCCATTTCTGCCTTCTTTGAATTTTGGAAAATTCTGTATTCCCAAAGAAATATTTATTCTCTGGATATATAACACAGTTCTTCTTCCGGCATTGTTTACTTTGAACTGAACACAATTTCCGGATTTTCTTATAAATTTCCAACATGGCCTAATGGCAGAATTCTTGGACAGACTAATGAATTTTTATTACTTGTATATTAAAAGCTGAGTAGCTCTAAGGAGAATTAAAGAGGTGACACCATAACATCATCTTACAGATCAGGAAAATGACAGAAATTCTCCTTCTGAGATGACTTCAAATATGTATGTATTTTCTTTCTAGTTTAAATAAATTTAATACAGCTCCTGCAAGTCATTTCTCTGGCTAGAAACCAAGTTCTGCTACGAGAGGTGCTGGATTTAGGTTTGTTAGGTTCTCACAGAGCTTTAGATAAAGCTCTCTCTGTATGCAAAAGTTATTCTAATTACAATTTTCCACAGTACTTCCCCTCTAAAAGCAAAATTTCCTAAAGAATATTGCTTTCTTCTCTGTGATTATAGCTACATAAAAATAACCAAATTCCTTTATTACCTGATATTTTCCTAGGTTTACTCTCAAGGGGAAAAATTACAGGAAAACATGATATTAGGAATTTGGGATTTTTCAAAATTAAAGATAATATTAGATCAATATAGATTTAGTCCAATTTCCTTCAACTTTTATGTCAATTCTCCTGTGCATTAATAATATCCAAAAAATGTCCCTATTCCACAGTGAGAGTCCATACCTTCAAAAAAATTCACTTATGTTCACTATGATCTAAGTAAAAAGAAATGCTCTGAAGCATTTTAAAATGTTTACAACAGCAGGGATCAAGCCAAAGAAGTTTTATCAAGAAAGCATATTTATCAATATGGAGCAATAAACTAGGCAGCAAAAGATTTGGACTCTTGGTTTTGCCACATCTTAGTTGCATAAACTTATAATGCTTTGAAGGCCACAATTTCCTATAAAATAATGAAATTGAATAGGTGATCACCTTCTGAACCCATGGTCCTAATTAACCAAAATGCTCCAAGCATACCAAGCATACATATACAAATACTTCAGAGCATTTTTCACATGTCATTTCTCTTTTCAAAACCTATAAATGCCTTACAATGGCTTTCTTTCCTATTAAAATTCCATACAATGACCTAATTATTTTAAACTTTCACTACTTTTTAAATTGCAAATAAGTGACTTTTAAAAATGTGAAATTTAGGGGCACCTGGGTGGCTCAGTCGTTAAGCGTCTGCCTTCGGCTCAGGTCATGGTCCCAGGGTCCTGGGATCGAGCCCCGCATCGGGCTCCCTGCTCGGCAGGAAGCCTGCTTCTCCCTCTCCCGCTGCCCCGGCTTTGTTCCCTCTCTCGCTGTGTCTCTCTCTGTCAAAGAAATAAATAAAATCTTTTTAAAAAATGTGAAATTTAAGTGTAATATGTGTCCTGCCTAGGCAGAAATGTCTTGTCTAACAATAGTCCTATTTAAATATTCTGCTTACCTTATGTGACTCAATCTGAGCGCCAGAATTTTGACCAGTTAAAAAAAGGAGCGGAGTACCTGAGTGGCTCAGTCGTCTAAGCATCTGTCTTCGGCTCAGGTCATGATCCCGATGTCCTGGGATCGAGCCCTGCATTGGGCTTCCTGCTCGGCAGGGCAGTCTGCTTCCCCCTCTGCTGTCCCCCCACCCTTGTGCTCTCCCTCTCTCTCTCTCTCTCTCTCACTTGCGCTCTCTCTCTCAAATAAATAAATAAAATCTTTAAAAAAATGAGCAATTATATCTAAGGCCCTACATCAGGGCACATGAGTCCCCTAGCAGCAGGTGCACTCAATTCCAACAGAGGGAAGTTACCAGCCAAAGAGCAAGGCTGCAGCAAGCCCCTTCTCTCTTGGGAAAGTTGTCATAAAATTGTCCCCATCTTCAGCACTGCTTTCCCTAGGGTACAATTAGCAAATTCAAAGGAGAGAGTGAAAGTGATGGGCAAGAGATGTTCTCTGGGGCCATAGCTTTTTCTTGGTCTTTTGTCTTTATAGGACTAGCCACTAGGAGTCTGGAACTCAATTCTTCAGCATCCAGGGCTATGAAAACCAAGTTACCCAAGGCACTGAGGGTCTGTTTGTTATTTTGACTATCTTCCACCCCTAAAGACAGACTGACAATGCTTTGTCCCCTGCCCTTCTCCCTCTGTCAAAACTAAGCTGTGCCTAAGCTCCATTAAACCAAAGTATGTATCTAGCCCTGCTGCAGGCGCATAGTAGGACCCCAGGCAATGTTTATCAAATGAAGAAGGGAATTTTTTTTTTATTGTTGTAGGGGGAAGAGGCCAAGATGGGAAGGCAATTCAGGAGGCAAGGAAATAAGGTAGTTTATCAGAGGCTAAAGGAGCTGATAAACCAAGCAGCACATATGGAAATGTAACTAAAGCAAATGGAAGGCCAGAAGGAGAAAGCGAGACGTTGGCAAGGAAGGATCCGAGATAGAGTGTGGTCATGGAGAAGGGTTGATTTAGGAACAAATTTTGTGATTTTGTGATTTGAAGTCATCCTCGTACATATATTTTGGCATGATCCTGCTGGACCAAGAGCCTTAAAGGAACAGGGTTTCATCAGGTTCTTCTGGTCCTCTGAGGAATTCCAGCATGGTCCATGGCTGACTGTCAGCGAGTTGAGCTTGACATTTCCCTTTCTGTTACTCCATATCTCACTGGTGACAACAACCAAGCTGCCAGTTGTACAAACTTAAGTTTTTAACTTCAAGACAAGTAATAAAGTCACTTTGACGATTACATCTGTCCAGTCCGATTTATATAATTTCTGACTTTATATGATTTCCAGAGCCCAGCTGGCAGTGTCTCACTGTTCAATTCTTGCCATTTTTGTCCCTCATTTGGTGGCAGGAACTCGTTTTCTTATGTATTTGGGAATCTTAATATAGCCTAAAGAGATTTAACCAATGAGTATCTTAATAAAAAACTTGTAGTACCTGAAAACCTTTAAGAAGATGCTCAGTAGATATTTTCCTTATTTACTAAGAAAAGACGAAAAGAACTTTTTTTAAGCAACAATGTACTGTTTTATCTTCTTTAACTTGTAACACTTTCTCCTGAAAAATGTCCATATGGACAGACCCAGTAGGTGTCTGGTGTTATAACCAATATATACCCTTGTCTCTGGTTCTAACCCCAGACTGTCAGGTGTTAGACGGGAAGTTGCTTAAGGGCAGATAACCAAACAGAAAGGCAGCCTTCAGAACAGACAGAAAGAACAGCGCCAAGAGGGAACCATTAGAGAAATCAAACATAGCATAAGGTAAGTCCATGTACTTACCTGAAGAAACTTACAGGGATGGCAAACGAGCTTCATTTCTTGCCAACGCCAATTGGTTGGTACTGGTTATCCAAAACACTGTACTGAGCAAAATTTTCAGACCAGGTCCAGAATTCAGAGGAAAAAATACATTGGTAGATGAGTATGCCTGCAAAGAGTAGGCTATCAGACTGGGCTGAGCTGTGTTACGGGACCACCATGGTTTCCTTGCAACTCTCCAATTGGAGAAGACCGTAAATAATAGAACAGAAAAACTGGAAGATGTTTAAATGTTTCTGTAATACACATGTGAACATCTTATATTTGCCCTTGAAAGATTTAGCAGACTGAAAAGAATTTAGAGATAAATTAATCTGGAAAATTTGTAAACGTTTAAAGCTTTTAGGGGTAGTGTGGAGAGTCCTTATTGGAAACTGTCAAAAGAAATCTGATATAGAAGCTCCCAGGGGCACCTGGGTGGCTCAGTCGGCTAAGCAACTACTTTAGGCTTAGGTGATGATCCTAGGACTCTGGGATTGAACCCTGCTTTGGGCTCCCTACTCAGCAGGGAATCTGCTTCTCCCTCTCCCTTTGCTGCTTTCCCAGCTTGTGCTCTCTCTAGTGTACTCTCTGTCAAATAAATAAATAAAATCTTAAAAAATAAACAAAAGAAGCCCCCAAGTACAAAGTAAATAACAGTAGAATTTTTTTTTAAAGATTTTATTTATTCATTTGAGATACAGAGATACAGAGAGAGAG